TACGAAAGCTGGACAGTGAATAAGGATGACCATAGAAGAATTGATTATATGAATTATGGTGTTGGAGGAGAATATTGAAAGTGCCATGGGCTGCCAAAAGAACCAATAGGTTCATTTTGGAAGAAGTACAGCCAGAGTGCTCCTTGGAGGCCAAGATGGCCAAACTTCGTCTCTCATACTTCGGACATATTGTCAAGAGGGATCAGTCGCTGGAGAAAGATATCATGTTTGGTAAGGTGGAGGGTCAGAGAAAATGAGGAAGACTCCGGACGAGATGGATTGGCCAAGTGGTAGCATCAATGGACTTAAGCTTGGCAACAGTAGTGAGGTTGGCCCAGGATCAGTCAGTGTTTCATTCTGCTGTGCATAAGGTCGCTATGAGTTGTTACTGACTCAATGGCACCTAACTGCAACAACAATTATTGGACAGTTGTCTATTTGTTTAATTCTATTAGAGTTTGATTTATGTCTTTTGAACCTCTGTCATTGGGAGCACAGATTTATATTGGAGGAAGAATGAATACACAAAGAAAAACAATGAAAGGAAATAACCAGGCTGGACGCCAGACCTGTTGTTGTTGTTGTTAAGTGCCAATGAGTCAGTTCAGACCCAGAGTGACCCTGTATAGAGTTTTCAAGGAGCGGCTGGTGAGCTTGAACCTCTGACATTTCAGTTCAAACCAACTTTGCAGTCTAGCATATTAACCCACAGCACCACATCAGGACTCCAGATGCCAAACCTATAGAGGACAAATTCTGCTAGCCAAAGGACCTTACATGGTAGGTGGGCAAGGTATGAGATGGTAATACTCCCAGACCTAGATGGAGTTTTTCTATTTTGGGTACCTAGTCCAGAAGTACTTTGTGCAGATTCAAAAGTAACTGGAGGAGCAGGATATTTTCATCCTAGAGGGCAGCTGAGGGCAAGAGATCCTGGTAGTCCAGCGCCGGCGTGAAACAACTCTGTAGGTCTTGAGCAGGCTACACCTGAGTCCAGGTGCTGGGGTTGGTGCAGATAGCTCCCCACTCACTTTGATGGGGCACACAACTGCACTGATCACCCAGTGGGAGAGAAGGGGAGCTTCACTGGTCATCAGGGGAGTGTGGGGAACAATAACAACAAAATCCCACCTTTATCTCGGTGAGTCAGCGTTATGTTTCTATGATACCTATACGCTGTTTTGTCTTGAAGCTGCTCATAAAAGCTTAAGATGGCCATGCCATGTCTGGTTAGCTGACATAGGTCACCAGTCTGGCCCTAACTATTCAGCTATCTCTCTACTAAATATTCAGTCCACGTTTCTATCCCTTCTTCTGCAGCTCAGAGTCCCAGGACTATCATCTGCATGTTCTTCATTTGGTTTTCCATGTCTGTGTTGGAGAGGGTTTGTGTAACATTACTCTCTAATCCACCATTTTGCCACTTACCCTGAGATATTATCTTAAAATATATTTTTATACCAGAAACTTCTTCCCTGATCAGCGAATTATTTCTTGAATAACTTTAATTTTTCAAGTATTTTTACTGCATGCTGTTGAGTCGGTTCTGACTCATAGTAACCTTACATTGTTGGTATTTCTGAGGATATAAATCTTTACAGGAGAAGAATGCTTTATCTTCTCCGACAGAGCAGCTAGTGGATTCGAGCTACTGACCTTTTAGTTCGCAACCCTATAGATAACCCACTACACCACCAGGGCACCTTTCCTTTTCAAGTATAGAATTTTTTTTTAATTTTGGAGAATCAAATTTATCATTGATATAAGAGCATTATTATTTAATAGCATATAGGTATCTTTTGTTTTAAGAAAATCTACAAATATATACATTTCTTTTCTGGCTACTGTGGTGCTAGGCACCCTGAGCTCCAAAGTCACTTGTGATTCCCTCTGTGAGGTGGTGCGGGAAGCTGTGCCTGGGAAGTTTTTGGAAGAAGTGGAGTTGCCAGTCAGTTTGAAGGACAGATGCTTCTCGGGCACCATCAGGTTTAAGTCCACCCTGCTCCCAAGTTCTTGGAGAAGCAAAGGCTGTGGATATCCCTCACATGGACAGCCAGGCGCTCAAGAAACTCAAAAAGAATAAGAAGCTGACCAAAAGTATGATGCCTTTTTGGCCTGTGAATCCCTTGATCAAGCAAATCCCACGGATCCTGGAAATAGGCCTAAGTAAGGCTGGTAAATTCCCTTCCCTGCTTACCCACAATGAGATAATGGTGGGTAAAGTAAGGAGCTATGGTAACATAGTGCTTACGAATTGGGCTGCTAACCTCAAGGTCAGCAGTTTGAAATTACTAGCTGTTCCGCAGGAGAAAGATGAGGCTTTCTGCTCTTGTAAAGATTTACAGCCTCAGAAACCCTACGCAGTGTTGCTATGAGTTGAAACCGACTCCACAGCATACCACAACCACCACCCATATATTTGTTAGAAGTCCTGGTGTGTCACTTGCAGGTAATGCACTGGACCATTGGGTTGGTTTGAACCACAAGGTCAGCTGCTCAAATTCACCAGCTGCTCCTCGGAAACCCTATACATGGTTGCTATGAGTCAGAGCCAATTCAATGACACATTACAACAACAATAACAACATAATTTTGTATGTACAAATTTTGTGCTATTGTATCGTTGCCTGACTAACAACTTAAAAATACATTATAGTGGATATAGTTTTCCAATGTCTGTTCATCTTTTCAATAACAATCCTCTGAGTAGACCCATGCACTTAAAAAAGCTAATCTGGGGAGTTAGGGTGGAGTAAGGGTCAATGTATAGAGGAAAGAAGGTGAATATTTGAATCAGTCAAACTTGAGGTAGAATTTTAATTCCAAAGCTGCCTGCCATGTGACCATGAGGTAAGTATTATTATGATCATTTTATAGATGAAAACACTAAGTCAAAAAGATATAGTAACTACTATTGTTGTTGTTGTTAAGTGTCTTTCAGTCTGTTCTGACTCATAGTGACCCCACATAGGGTTTCCGAAACTTTTAAAATGTTTGTGGGAGCAGAAAGCCTCATCTTTTTCTTGCTGACCAGCTGGCAGACTCGAACCATGGACCTTGTGGTACGCAGTCTAATGGTTATCATATGGCGCCTCCGCTGCGTCCGTGAGTGTTGATGGTTGATCCAAGCAAAATGAAGTCTTGGACAATTTCAGTCTTTTCTCCATTTATCCTGATGCTATTTATTGGTCCAGTGATGAGGATTTTTGTTTTCTTTATATCGAGGTGCAACCCATACTGAAGGCTGAGTTCTTTGATCTTCATCAATAAGTATCTTAAGTCCTCTTGACTTTCGGCAAGTAAGGTTGTATTATCTGCATGTTGCAAGCTGTTAATGAGTCTTCCTCCAATCCTGATGCCAAATTCTTCATATAATCCACCTTCTCGGATTATTTGCTCAGCATACTGATGAAAGAATCAGTGTAATATATGCTAATTTCTCATATTCTCTAACCTGCAGAACTGTCTGTAGGATTGTGAGCTCTTGCTTGGATAAGGGACTTCCCTTTTAGTGTGTTGCACAGAGCTTTGGGTGTGGCAGGGATCAGGAAAAAAGTCAGTTGTGTGACTCATAAAAGTGGGAGGCTCTGAAATTTGCTAGTACTTACAAATATTCTTATTTGTTTTTATACTGATTATTTCTCATTTGAACCTCCTAGTTTCACATAGTTGCTATTCCATTTATTTGTAAAGTAATGTAAAACTTGGAAACTCAAAGGAAAGTTATTGTACATGCTGATAAAATTCTAGATTTGACTTCTAAAACTCTTGTTTAACCCAGTAAATCACCAAATCCACTGCTATCAGCTAACACAATACAGTTAGAACAAGTGTGAATATGTGGAGCTCTCTTTACTGACTAGGTAGGTTTTTTTTTTTTTTTTAAGTTTTTATTGGGACTTGAGTTGGGTAGATACTTTTGTGTATATATAGGTACACTGGAAGATGATAATGAATAACACCTACATAAAAAGTTTATAATTCATAAATAAGTGTAGATATAATTATAAGGTAGCTATTATGAGTCATACCAAGGTATTAAATAAACTACTTCGGGATTCAAAGGATAGATCAGCTATGTGCTGACTTAAAAAGAAGATCAAGATCTGTCTTGGAAGATGTACAGCCAGGATGTTCCTTGGAGGTGAGAATGGCAAGACCTGGTCTCATATAATTTGGACATGTTATCAGGATGAACCAGTCACTGTCAGAGAACATCATGCTTGGTAAAGTTGTTGTTGATGTTAAGTGCTGATGAGTCAGTACGAGGGTCAGCAAAAAGTGGAAGACCCTCAATGAGATGGATTGACGTAGTGGCCCCAATAGTAGTAGGCTCAAATATAACACTTAGGAGGCTATCTCAGGACTGGGCAGTGTTTACTTCTGTTGTACTCAGGTTTGAGTCAGAGCATCTCAGTGGCACCTAATAAGAACAATGTTGTTGTCATTAAGTGTAGGCTAGTGGCTGGCTGGTAGTCTGTTTTGTGCTTATAGATTCACATAGATAAGCATTAAACATTAAACCTGCCATTGTGCTCTTCTGTTGGGGTGTCTTCATGAGCAAATCACACTTTATTGTGAAAAATACATTTTCCATCTTAAACTTGATGTTTTGTCAAGTATAAAATACTTGATTGTGACTGGTGTAGGGGGAGCTTTAGGTAGGAGAAGCAGACACGAGTCGAACGTCCATAGTCTAGTAGAAGACTGGTTTTCTCTGAGGTGTGGCAAGCTGGTATTACTGTTATTCTGTCTTTAAGACTCTTAGGGCACCTATTCTGTCATAGTGGATGCAAGTGTGTAGCACTTAATTTTTATTACAGAATGCATATAAAAATCCTTTTTAAGCCTTATCTTATTCAGTAAATATATAATTTAAATAAATGAGTATATCGACTTGTTTTTTATGTGCCTTTCAAATGAATTAATAGTGAAATCAGTACAGTTGTATAATCATATATTTAGATACACATTGATTTCTTTTTTCTTATCTCTTGCAGGAGTTCTGGTAGGTCTACAAAATGAGGTACTTTTGAAGCATCAGTCTGCTTCAATTCACAGACAGTTGGAGTTTTTCAGCTGCAAAGCCATTTTTTTTCTGCCAAATTCCTGAACTTATGAAATCATGGTGGAAGGAAAGACAGAGTCACCTGTCCCCAAGAAGTGTGGCCCATATATCTCATCTGTCACTAGCCGGAGTGTGAATTTGATGATTCGAGGAGTGGTGCTATTTTTGATCGGAGTATTTCTTGCATTAGTATTAAATTTGCTTCAGATTCAAAGAAATGTGACCCTCTTTCCACCTGATGTGATTGCGAGCATCTTTTCTTCAGCCTGGTGGGTACCACCGTGCTGTGGCACTGCTTCAGGTATGTATGTGATATATCTGTAATGCTTGGAAGGGAAATAGTGCAAGTGAATGAGGATGGTTTCTGAGCTACAAACTTTTTTAGAGAGTTAGCTTTATTGAGGTATAATTTAAATACAAAATAATGGATCTGTTTTAAGTGAACAGTTTGGTAGTTACAGTCTTGTAACTACCACCACACCGATATAGAACATTTCCATCACTCCCCAAATATCCTCTGCCCTCCTGTAGTCTAGTTCTCACTTCCAGAACCAGACTGCTGTTGATCTACTTTCTGTCACTCTAGATTATTTCTGCCTGTTTTCCAGAGTTTAATATAAATAGAATCGTTCAGTATGGACTCTTTTGTGTCTGGTTTCTATCTGAACTGGTTAGAGACCATCCAGTTAGTTCAGACTCATAGCTACGTCAAGTATAACAGAGTGAAACCCTATCCGACCCTTTGCCACCCTCAGAATTGCTGTTAGGTTTGAGCCCATTGTTGTAGCCACTGTGTCAGTCCATCTCGTTGGACTAATTGATACCAAGCATCTTCAGTTTTCATCACTCTCCTCTCTTACCAGGAATGGTCAGTCATTCAACATCACAAAAAATAGAGAAAAGACTGAAGTTACCCCTTTTTGAACTGGATAAATCTGCTGTCTAGCCATGCAGTCACCAGTCCTGGAATGCCCTGTTGCTTGTTCTCACTTCCCACGTCTAGGTTCAAAGTCGAGGCCTTCAACCACTTGGAATTTTGAATCTTCTCACTTTCTGCCTTAATTTTGTTTAACCCTTCACTCCTACTACACGCTGTAAGAACCAGCTCCATTTCTCTAGTGCAAATCTGATAGTGTGTCTGGAGCGTAAAGGCTGTTTGTAATACCCCTCACTGCTTCCAGTTGATTCTGACTGCGATCGACCCTGTATAGAGTTTCTGAGGCTCTAAATCTTTAGGGGAGCAGAGAGCCTCCACTTTTTCCGGTGGAGCAACTGGTGGGTTTGAACTGCTAACCTTGTGGCTAGTGATCCAGTGCTTATCTACACCACCATCAGGGGGCTTAAAAAATTTTGTGGAAAAATTATGTTATATTTTAATTCCATTTTTCCATGAACTTTTTTAAGCTGCCTCATATGGCAGTTTGTTATCCTCAGAGCCTTTTGGACTTTGAAGCTCTCTTATGCCTAAAGCTTTGAGCTTCCAAATAATAGTAGACTTTTCCAGCTGTCTGATGAGAAATCCCTGTCTACACCATTCCACATAGTGAAAGTTCCTGCCTCAAGGACCAGCTCTTCTGTAAAGCGGTCCAGAGTACGAGCACCCTTCTGCCCCTCAACATATGTAAGAAGACGGTAACTTGGTGCCACTGGGCCCTGCCATTTGGACCTCTAGCACAGTATTGTGTTACATTGTTTCTGTGGTCACTTAGGGATCATGTCTTAATCGTTTCCCTTCTTAATTTCCAGCAACTACCACGAACTAGACACACATGGCGGTTTAAGTATTTGTTGAATGAAAAAATTGCCTTACCCTTTCATAGTGTTCCAAGAAAGTATATTCCACTGAGTGGGGTTTTTTGGGGTTTTTTTCCAGTTCCCTTTCCTTGCAAAACGTTTGACTAACTGTGTTATTTTTAGTGCAGCACTGCATTAAACACACAACTGTAAAAAGTGACGACTTGATACTGATGTTTTGCAGGCACGTTTTGTCTTTGGTCTTGGTAGTAACCAGTCACTGGGAAGTAATTTAAATGTATCTCAAGAAATGTGATTTTGCATCAGAGAAGCGTCTGATTAAACAGGGCTGTGTTTGCATGTGACTTTACACAACCAGGATTTTCAAGTGTCTCTTTTGAAAATAAGAATGTAGAGAAAGAGGAGAAGGAGCCCAGTTATACTTCAGCTGAGCTCTCAAATGGTGGAAACTCCTAGTGCAGTATATATTACTCTCTAACTCTGACATGCCCTTACTTAAAGGAAAAAAAGAAGACAATTAATGGCAAGTGACAAGCTTCCTCAAATTTTCCTGCTTAGTTAACAACAGAGAACCAGACATACTCAGTGGATTTGATTTTTATTGGCAGGGCCCAAGGTTGGCAGCATGGCAGCTTAAGTTCTTTTTGTTTGTTTTTGCTTTCTTTCCTCAGTTGTCTCTCACTTGCAAGCCTGACACCACATACATAAAAAATATAGTCCATTTAATTTATTTATATCTTTGCACAGGCGTCAGTATTCTCTATGTGATAACTCTTTATCTATGGTATCTGCTGTTGAGGAAAATTGAATTGGAATGCCTGATCTTAGTTGATTTTACTCAGCAACACGCTAAGCGAAAGGAGAGGAGGAAGAGCGAGGAATGACAAATGAGCTGTTAGCTTCATGACCCTTTGAGCAAAAAAAAGAGAGAGAGAGTGATAACATTCATTTCAACGGTTAGGCATGCTTATTACCTATTTAATTGTGTAGAATTTTGGAGAAATGCTGTCAATCTTATAGGATTTTAAAGTTTTTAAAAATAGGAATATTTGTGAAACTTTAAATTTTTCTAAAAAGAAAGTTAAGTAATTGATGGCGTTTGGGATTGCTGAAATCTTTTGTTGCTCTCTTGGTGTTGTATAAACTGCCTGCTCTCAAAAGGCCACTCTGGGCTTTGTGGAATGAAAACTGCAAATGCTATTGCAGCATCTCTCCTCCAGATGGAAGGGGGATCATGTAGCATTTTTTCTGATGGTTCCACTGGTCTGCTAGTCTGTGATTTGTACTATTAATTGAGTTCTGTTTTTCCCTGAAGATTGAATGCATTGCTTGTGAGCCAATACCAGGTCAAGGCGGGGCTTCTGACACTTTGGTGCTTAGATTTTGGTACAGTAATTTTATGGTGCATATAGGTGGCATTCGGCATTTTAAACATACTTTTCAATTGATATGACAGTTGCATTTTTATTATCAGAATGGCAATATAATAATTATCTTTAGGAAGATTAGCAAATGAAAGCTACCTAGCTATATCCTATTAAATATAATCTGTGGAAGTATATTTTCCCTATAACATGTTGAAAAGTGTTTTAGTTCATTAAATAGTCATTTTAAATGACTGACTTAGCATTTAAAATTGTTGAGGGTTTTTGTTAAGAATTGGATGAGAATATTTTGAGTATCACCCATATAAATGTATATGTTACTTATAATTAATTCCACAATTAGCATTCAAAATTAAGAAATGTATTAAGATAATTTTTTTAACAGTGAATTTAAATTTTAACCCAAAATTTTATAATTTTTAGAGTGTGCTTTCTTTGTATTTTTCTATGTGCAGAAAAGTCTTCCATGTAGATTTCTGTTGTGAGTTTTCCTGCTTTGATAATGTGGCATGCAGACATATTAGAGGGCCAGGCTGGAAGTGAGGTAGGCCTCAGGACAAGGTACTAGACCCAAAGCATTAGAGAATGAGAAGAGAAGCTGGGGGAGCAAAGCTACTCTGCAAAATGGGAAAGCTAATTATGTGTATAAGGCACTTGTACGTGTATATGCTTCTAGATTTTTCTTAGATTTGTGGCATTTAATAGTGTGGTTATGGTTATTTAGTTTAAAAAGAATATTGCTTAACTGTTCATTGGTATGATGAAAAGTAGCATGAGCCATCTTAAGCCAGTCTGCTAATTTGTGACTCATACATTTAAGTAGCATTTTGCCTATTATAATTTAGAATATTTTGTAATAGTTTACAATGCTTTCTTCAGTAGTGTTAACCATATCTATGAGGGGCTTTAAAAAGTTTGTGGAAAAATGGAGTTGAAAGATAATAGAATTTTCCCATTAACTTTTTGAAGTACCCTCGTTTAAAGGTAAGTCAAAAAGTACCACTACAAAATCATAACATGTTTATTAAACAAAAATATTAAAATGTGAAGCTATTGTATCTTGACACATCCTTCATCTAAGGTTACTTAAGGCATTATGTCTATCTCTCTAACTCTTTCCCAGAGAATTCGGCTCTCTTTGATTTATAACATGTCAAAAAGGCAGTTTGGCATCCTTGAGGCACTGAAATTGTGTTCCTTTTACATGTTCTTTGAGTTTGGGGAATTAAAAGAAGTTTGAAGCGGCAAGATCAGGCCTGTTGAGTGGATGGGATAAGTTTCCCAACGAAATTCTCATAGGACAGCCCTTGGTACCCTTAAAGAATGAGTTAGGTGCATTGTCGTGATGGAAAAAAAAAAAATTCTCCACGCAACTTTCCTGTCCTTTTTCTCACCAATGTATCTTTCAATTTTTGTAAAACTTGTACCTGATAAGCTCCTAAAATTATCCTGAGTCCTTTGAGAACGTCTATCAAGACCACCATTTTGGAGTCCCCAGAAATTACTTGCCATAACCTAATCTGAGCTTTCTGCCTTGAATTTAACGGCCCCAGTTGATCACCTTGGAAGCCACTGTTCTGACTGAACCATTTTTTTGAAGGCATCTTAAGGAGACTAAGACAAGTGTATTACTGAGAGAGAGCGCATCTCTGCGGCCATCCACTGATTGCAGAGACTTGTTGAAACATGTTTTGTTTGGAATAAACTCGTGCTTGTATGAACTGGAACCCTAGTAGCAATACTTTTTGACATGTCCTTGTGTGTGTGTGTGTTTATATATCCATACATATATGTATATTATATATTTGATATATATTTATATGTATTACATTTTAATAGTTTGGAAGGTAAGTGTAAGAACATCAGTTTTCATGTTAAGTAACTTGTAGAGCTTTTTAATAAAGAATATTTAAAAGCATATGTATTAACTCTTTTAGCTTAAGTGTTGTTGCCAGTACAACATTGGAGATGACTTAATTGTTTTTCTTCTTTCCACAGCTGTGATTGGGTTATTATACCCCTGCATTGACAGGCATCTGGGGGAGCCACATAAATTTAAAAGAGAGTGGTCCAGTGTAATGCGATGTGTAGCTGTCTTTGTTGGTATAAATCATGCCAGTGCTGTATCCTTTTTCTCTGCAATGAGATGCATAACAGCAAAGCAGCTCCCAACCAGCTGAAGGTGCAGCAGCCCCCTGCAACTTCCCTACTGTCAAATTGTGATCTGCCCACTTAGTCATAAAAAGCACGTGAATGGTATTGTTGGAACTCTACGGAAGTAGCTATGCAAGTATAATTGGAAGTACTATAGAGCCTTTCATATAAGTCCCTATTTTTGGACACTACTTAGAATTTTGCACATTTTAAAAATGTACATGATTGCCTTAAACTAGGTTACTTAATTGCTTCCACTATAGTTAAGTCAATTCTAACATTGAAACAAGTGTCTTTTCAAAGGATTTTTTTGCCCCTCTTGCTTAATTGGAGAGTTGTCAATAGATGGCTTCAGGTGCTGGGCTTTTTGTTCTTGTTTTTGGTTTTTGAATTTAAAGAAGTTACATATATATATTTGGAGTCCTGGTGTGGCGCTGTGGGCTAATGCATCAGTCAGACTGCAGAGTTGTTTGAACTGCAAGGTCAGTGGTTCAAGCTCATCAGCTGCTCCTTGGAAACCCTATACAGGGTCGCTATGGGTTAGAATCGACGGCACTTCACAACAACAATATATATATATATATATTTAAAAGGTAGATTGTCATTTGTTGCTTTTAATATATACCAATAAATCACGTAAGTGTTCTTAAAGGCATAAGGAGAAATATCAAATTTAGAAATACCCTTTGCCAAAAAGAACATTGTTTGCCACCCTTCCCCATTTTATTTGGTAATGAATGAATATTTTTATAGTCTTTTTGCTTGAAGGATAAGGTAATCCCGATTTCCTTTCTCATTTCTACCTTCGGATGGTGGTGGGGAATTCCCTAGAAAACAGGGTTAATCCTCATCAGATTTTGATTGTTCATCCTGCCTAACTCTCCCAGCCTTTGTAGAAGCACATCCTGGAAGTGCTATCAGACTTCTCTTTTCTAGAAGATATGGTTTAGCGAGTGGAGGTGACAGGACTCTTTGGTACTGGGAAGAGCAGGGAGTGTAACTCAGTTTGCTCTTACAGCTGTGCTGGTCTGAGGGCTGGCAGAGTGAGCTAGAGAGAAAGGGTGTGTCTGGTGGCAAGTAGATGCCTGTGCCTTTTCAGGCAAGGGTGAGGCATTTTGGAGAAGAAGAGAACAAACTCTACAGAGACTGGCAGCGTCCTACGTTCTGAACTCATGTCTGCTTTCTGGACCCCAGCTGTGCTGACTTTTGGAAGTTTGTGAATTTGGAAATCCCTCAGTGGCTATTACTGGTTTGGTTTTCCAGTTTAGAGTTACTATTTTAATAAAATAATCTCCTGAAATGTTTATTTTGGTGAAATATTTGAGATTTTTGATGTTCTATATATATTTTAAAAATTAGTGATTTGGAGGGCTTAAAAAGATAGAATCATAGAAATTTTATGTAGAAGAGAATTTAGAAATAATCTCATTCAGCATTTTCCTTGTAAAGATAATGAAAAACTGGAGAAATCAGGTAATTTACTAAGACACTTATAACTGCACAGTGATGGTGGAGCTGACATGGAACCTAGAGATCCTTATTTGAGTCTAGAAACATCATTTTCCAACCCCAGGGTCCCTGTCAAGTGTGTGAATTCTTTTCTGTCGGGGAATTAGAACTTTCTATCTCAAATATTTCAGCTATGATTTTTGTTTTCAGTAGAAACAGTGAAATGTTCTTTTTTCAGAATTTAAAAAACTACATATTTCTAATTTAAAGTTTTTGTTTTGGTTACTCTTTTCATTCTTTCTCAATAATATGCTTACATATGTCAATCTTAGCTACCCTGGCCTTTAGCAAAATCAAAACCTTCACAAAATGTATAACATCTGCTTTTAATATTAGTTTACTTAGATTTTAGTAAAATCACATCGTACTACCTAAGAGTGATGTATTTTACCTGTTTCCCTTGAAAGCCTGCTTATTTTGCTTAGACACTTAATGAATTTAATGTAGTTAGCAAAACTGAAACCTAGTTGGTATCAGTTTTACTCTTTATAGGAATATTTATTGAATAGTGAAATATTGAGCTCATAATCTTTTCTTTGGTGTTTCAGAGATAATGCTAGCCAAAGAATAAATAAGAAAAGCCTTTCCTTAAAGCATAGTCATTAGGCTTTTTGATAATTTAAGCCTCAACAAGAAATGCCCTTTGAGGGAGTGGCCACAGCAGCTCTCAGGTACTGAGTATAAGCAAGCTGGCATCTAGGATGCTGGCTGGTGTGGCTGGGGCTGAGGGGATGGTGGAAAAGAACGGTATTTTAGGAAGTGGGATATGACTTGATATACATTTCATATACTTTATATACATATAAATGTATTTAAAGTATACAAATGTATACTTATTTGTAGTGGTTACAAATCAGGCCGTTAACCTCAACGTCGACAGTTTGAAACTACCAGCTGTTCTGCGGGAGAAAGATGAGGCATTCTGCTCCCATAAAGATTTGCAGCCTCAGAAACCCCGTGCAGGGTCACTATGAGTCAGAACCAACTCCACGGTACTTAACAACAACAACTCTTTTCTCTGAGGTTTCAGAGTGGCCAGTTTGGCAAAATACCTAGTAGCCCCTAGAGAACTGGTTATAACTGAAGAGCCAAGATGTGGCCTTTGGGACAAAGAAAATGCCCTTTTAATGACATTTGGAATTAATTCCTTTAATGTAATTCTCTAGCAAAGAAATAAGAAAATTGAATTTATAAAGCTTCATTTTTACCTAGAGATTTTGGAGTAGAAAAGAGCCATACATTTGTGAATAGATGCTTAAGTAAGTGACGGAAATAAAATATCATTTGAGCAAACTGTCATATACCAGAAAATCTCAGGCACCAAAATAGCTTGGCAGGTTGCAAGATAATGTTCACTTCAAGGCTTTATCCTCAACAAATTAAAACTAGAACAGTTGACATAATAGAAAGGGATACTGTGTCCTTGCTACTCTTGTTTCTGAACCGCATTATTGTAAAATGTGTCTGTCAGTAAATCATATAGAGAATGTGGTATCCTGTTAAATAGCTGTCAACTCTTCTATTTTCAAGTTCCTGTATGATTCTCAAGTATTCTAAACCTGTGTGAGAAGGAATATTGGCTACTTCTTTAAGCAAAAGTGTGTGCCTTTAGTGAATAGTGAAATATTGAGTATTTCACTATTAGCAGTATTTGTGTTCTGAGACTATTCTAGCTGTCTGTGTTTTTAGCAAATAAAGCATTTCTTAAGTAATGGGCCTGATCTTATAGTTAGGATTGTATACAGATTATAGTATTTTTGGAAGACCTACAGGTCCATACTAATGAAGAATCATGCTCTGTGTATTTTCAGTAAATACTAGAAACGATTAGGAACCCTGGTGGCATAGTGTTACATGTTGAGTTGCAAACCTCAGGTCAGCAGTTCGACTCCACCAAACACTCAGCAGGAGAACTATGACTGGTTTGCTCCCATAAAGGCCTGAGAAACCTTATGTAGGGTCGCTGTCAGTGGGAAAGGACTTGAAGACACTTAGCAACAACAATCTTTTATATTGTATTAAAAGACCGAAGGTCCTCTATGTTGTTGTTATGTGCCGTGGAGTTGGTTCCGACTCATAGAGACCCTGTACACAGTTTCCAAGGTTGTAAATCTTTATGGGAGCAGAAAGCCTCATCTTTCTCCCGTGGAACAGCTGGTAGTTTTGAACTGCTGACCCTGAGGTTCACAGCCCAATTCATAACCACTACGCTACCAGAGCTCCTTGAAGGCCCTCTGTAATAAGCCCTTAATTCCCTTCTCAGTAGTAGTAATTGTTGTTGTTGTTACGTACCGTTGAGTCGGCTCCAACTCATAGCGACCCTGTTTAGGGTTTCCAAGGAGCGGCTGGTGAGGGGTGAACCTCCAACCTTGCAGTTCAAACTGACCTTGCAGTCCAGCACATTAACCCACAGTGTCATACCAGGACTCCAAAATAAAGCCTACAGCACCTGGCATTTATATAGGCAAAAATGACAAGTTTTTATTTGGATATCAACTTTATGATGACTCTTTAACACTGATCTCAGAAAGTGGACTTTGATAACAACATACAGTTGTCTCTCACACTGGCTGCATTATCCATTGGACTGTGGTGGACATTCGATAGATCGAGAAGTGGTTTTGGCCTTGGAGTAGGAATCGCTTTTTTGGCAACCTTGGTCACTCAACTTCTAGTCTATAACGGTGTTTATCAGTAAGTATTGCTCTTTTTGGTGTTTGCTAACTAGTTAAATAAATGATAACTGGATTCAGAATTGGAAGTTTGAAATTGATTTAGCCAGTTTAATGTACAGAATTACTTATTTTCATTGTAAATGTATTAGTATATATCATGATATTTCCTTTGTGGCTTGTTAAAAATCTTTCTGTCATTCTAGATATACGTCTCCAGATTTTCTCTATGTGCGTTCTTGGTTACCTTGTATTTTTTTTGCCGGTGGCATAACAATGGGAAACATTGGTCGACAACTGGCACTGGTAAGCTGTGCTTCTGTAATCACTTTTCTGTTTTGAGTTTGCTGTATGACACATGATCTCTAAATGACATGACTTTTTTGAGAGAAAGTACTTCATGAAGACAGCTTTCTTTTGATTTCTCGTTTGTAATTTCATTGAAATAAATCATTTGGAAGAATGTAATCACAGGTATATTAAAAATTGAAGGAGTCACTGGACTGAAAAGCCAAAATGCATTATAGATGTGGTGGTATGATTTATCATCCAAACTCGGATGTTATAATTTTTGTTTCTACTCCATCTAATAGGGACACTCTTAAAAGTGAAAAGGGTATTCCTACAATAGGCATACATTAGGATTGTCTCCAGCAAATCACAGTGTTGGCTCATTTTAGTTCAATGAAAAGGACATTCATAGGTGGCAAAGATCAGGAAGTAACTTTTAGAGGCCAAAGAAGCTCGCTTGAATCAGTACTGTATCGTTTTAGCCAGGAGACACTGGTAGTTAAACATTGTAAATATTGCCTTCCCCGTGGGAAATCTGAGTTCAATTCCAGCCAATACACTTCATGCATAGCCACTCCCCATGTGCCAGTGAAGACTTGTTTGTTGCTGTGATGCTGAACACTTTTCAGTAGAGCATTCTAATGAAGACATACAAGGAAGGTTTGGTGATATACTTCCGAAAATCAGCTAATATAAACTATGTGGATCACAACAATCTAACCCAGTTGTGCATGAGGTTGCCAGGAATAGCTGGCTGACTTGACAACCACCATCATTTTAACCAGCTAAGAGAACTGAGTGCTTGCTGTTTGGGGATAACCTAGCCATCCAATTATCCAAACCAGTTGGTTTCCTTTATTTTTAATTGTGGGTCTACATTTTCATTGTTGACAGTTCAGACTCATAAACCTGTAGAGTTTCCGAGGAGCAGCTGGTGAATTTGAACCACCGACCCTATGGTTTAAACTGACTCAGCAGTCCAGTGCTTAGCCTAGAGCGCCATACCAGCAGGACTCCATACATTTTCATAGCTATGCTTTTTAAAAGACAGAGCCTTCTTGACAAGAAGCTTTTACTAATATAATTTTTTCCATTTATATCTTAAAAGTGATGTAAAAAATATATATGAATTTACTACATTAGTTCTGCCTTTGCTGATTTGACTTCATTAAGACTCAAAGAAACCCTCTTTGCTTCCTTTCTCTCCATATCGCTTTATATTCTGACATTGATGTCAGTCATAGTGCTCTCGTTTGCTTGTCACACAGAAACCTTGTCTTTCTTTAGCTCTTGGCTATGCATCTTTCACTTCTAGAATGTGAATTTTATCATTTTCCCTGTCACATTGATTATTTATAATAATAATTGCACAATACTCAGACTCTTTGAGGAGTAAAGTAGGCATGTAATAAGGAATTTATTAGTTTGATAGCCTTTTGGTTCATTTGGAAATTTCTAATCAAAATAATTCTTAATCATTTAACTTTTTAATTTTTGCAGTATGAATGTAAAGTCATCGCAGAAAAATCTCATCAGGAATGAAGAATGCAAAAAATGCATCTTTTGTACAGAGAAAAAGATGAACAGGGCATGTAAATGATACACATGCCAACAAACTTTGGACTGTAAAACTGCCAGGATGCAGTTTTCCCCTCTATTGATATATATTTCATATATATCAATAATATACCAATAGTATATGTATTACTGCAATCTGTGATTGCTTCATCTGTAAATCTGTTATAAACCTTTATGTATTTCAATTAAAGAACTGTAAAATACATGTGTACTACATTAAAAACCATGTTGATTAATAGATGAAATTTTTAAATTAATTTTTTAAAACATACCATACATTGTATCTTATTCTTGATGTGCCAAAATATTCTATTACTGTCATGCAGAGCATAAGAATGCATTGAATAATTTATAAAAGCAGGGAAATAAAACAAGAGGAAAGCCAAAAAACAAGCAAATGGGAAGCTCGTATTTTTTTCTTGCACTTGCTGTTCCTTTTCATTTTTCTAATTACAGTAGTATGAGTTATGGATCCTCTAATAGAACAATGTCAGCTTAGTTCTTATTTGAATGTTACATACAGCTTTGAGTGTTTTAATATTTGATGAAAATGAACTTCTATAAAATGTTTTCAAACATGCATTACTAGAGAGAGTCCGAAGAGGAATTTTCTGTACAGGCAAATTTTCCTGTAGGTCTATGATGACCAGGAAAGGTTATCAGCATTGAGTTGTTTTGAATCATTATTGGGAAAAACATATAGAGATTGTCTAAAACAAAGACCATTGGAGAAGTTAATTAGAATACATACATATTTAGAAGTCCAAAAGGACCTTCTGCAGAGCTACGATGTAAAGTGATATTAGCGGTCATTTGCAGAGCAGTATCCTACCGCTTCACATGGAACAAGTAAGAAATCCCAAACAGACCAAAACAAAGTTTCTAATTCTGTTGGGTTCTGTTATTGTGTGGCAGCAAATCACTTTAGCTGGGTTGAGGTCATACGATTTATTGTCAGTGAAATGCCTAGATTTACAACCTTCCATGCATTCTGAGGGATGGATGAGTACATAATTTATATATTTCTATGCCGGTGAGGGAGTAGTTCAAGTCTGTAAGAATACATTGGATGGTACTCTGCATGTGAAAGATCTTTATAACAGTTATGTGCATATCTTTCCAATGATTAGAGACATGTAAATGTGGTTTAAATGTAATTTTAGCACATACCTCCCACCCCCCCACCCCCCCAATTTTTACTTTTTAAGTTGATAACAGTTGCTTAATACACAGGGCAAATTTTTCTGAAGACTTTGGGGGATGTGGTGTGTGTGTGTGTGTTTTGGAGTGAGAGAGACTGTATGTGTATGTGTGTGTATGCATGTGCTCATCCTCTCCTAGAATGTCAAGTCGCTATTTCTAATTTTAGGTTTGAAAAACACCATTATCAGATTAAAACCCTGTATGCCAAACTTTATTTTGCTTTTATATGTTTAGGCTGAAATTGTGAAAGTCCTAAAAGGATTTCATATTGAATATATATACCCAGTCTTAAATTATAGTGGTGGAAACATACAACTATAATTTATTATTCTATCTTCCAGATAATATTACTCATTTAGAACAAATAAGTTATATTTTTAGAATCAACTTTGTAAGCACTATGAAATCTTTAATAATAAGTTTTAAGGACTATGATGTATTTACTGTGAAAATTGCTGTTAAAAGCAAAATGTATTAAATATATAATTATCATCTTGGTTAAGAGTCTCTTTTCTTCTTTGTTGTATCTCTTAGAATTTGCTACTGTGAATTGACTTAATAAAATTAACATGTATCATTGAGCTTACTAAGAAATGATGGAAGGAAACTAAGGATAGTATTGTATTAGGGAAATTAAAACGACTATCATTGGCCTTCGTAAATTATTTTTACTTTATATAGAAATAAAAAACTAGAGAATTATGGTAAAAATGTTTTGACATTCTGGTAAATGTGCAATACTTATATTTTGCAGTGATGGAAAGCTATAGTAGAGTCCTGGTGTGGCACTGTATGGTAAGCACTGGACTGCTAACTGCAAAGTTGGTAGTTCAAACCCACCAGTCAATCCTCAGAATCCCACTACAGGATTACTATGAGTTGAAACGGACTCAACAGCAGTTAACAGCTACAGCAATAATAGTATTGGCAGTGATTTTGTGTTTTATTTAACATACAAACTGGGAAGTTGACAGCTAAGACTAAATTTTACAAAAGCACAGGAAAACAATTAAAATGAGCTAGTTATTTACTGAGCCGTTTTTACTCTATTAACAACACTGGGACCTCTCGGTGGTGCATACATTTCATACATCTTGTATGTTCTAGGGGGGATTCAGACTTGGTCAGTGTCATTACCTACTTCTCTACTGCTCTCCGTTCCCTTTCCCAAATAAAGTGTAAGATGGATGTTTCAGTGATCATCTGTGATTAGTAGCATCTTAATTTGTGTCTGAAAAAGTCTATTTCATTCTTAAAGAATAATTTAGCAGGCTATAGAAATCTAGGTTCACAGTTTTATTATTTTTTTTCAACTCTTGAAGATTTTAACTTGTATTCTGTTTAAGTCTGCTATTAGTTTAATTTTCTTTCCTTCGTAGGCAGTTTTTCTTTTCACTTTGGGAGCTTTGAAATGATTTTCTCTTTATCCTCAAGGTTTTCAATTTCACTTTGATTTGTGTAGTTGCAGGTTTTTTTCTTTTTCTTGTTTGGTATCAGATGTGTACTTTCAATTTGTGAAGTTATATGTTTAATTTTGGAAATTTCTTGAAGGGGCTAAATATTGGAATCACATGGGATCTATGGGAAAAAATGCTGATGTGTGGATCCTGCCCCCCTAATCATTGCTGGGTTCTGACATACAGCCACATTGGCACTTACTGGTGTAGATATGGGAAAGGAAAGGGAGTAGGTCTGCTTGAGAGGATGTGTATAATGGTATTGGAGATGACGAGAGGCAATATTTTGGAGTAAAATCATATAACGTTTTTGACTTGGAATATGACGTGTCAAAAGTGACTTAAGTTTTCGATCTTGTTTAGTGATGTGGATATATTTCCATTAACTTAGAGAGGAATGGAGTCTTGGTGTGGCACTGTGGGATAAGCTCTCGGCCGCAAGGTCAGTTTGAACTGCAAGGTTGGTGGTTCAAAATCACTAGCCTTTCCTTAGAAACCGTATGCAGGGTTTCTATGGGTCGGAACCGACTCGAGGGCACTTAAGAACACCAGAGAGAAATGGAAGTGGGAACACGTGGCTCCATATGATAAGCACTGGACTGCAAACCACAATGTCAGTGGTTCAAGCCCACTAGGCACTTGGTGAGAGAAAGATGAGGCTTTCTGCTCCTGTGAAGATTTAAAGTCTTGGAAACCCTATACAGGGTTGTTACGAGTCATAATCAACTCAGTGGCACTTAATAACAATAACAAGAGAGTATGTTAAGAAGCAGATGAATAGGAAATCTTAGTGAATTTGCTTTGGTATTGATTAAGGTTGAGGTAGAAAGAATCTTGTGGTAAAAAAGAGTCATAAGCATTTGGATATTCAAGTCTGGGCTAAGGGGTGTCTTAAGGGAGTCAGCAGTAATAAATCTGTGAGAGTAGATGAGATCACAGACAGACAGTATGTTTTGGTGAGAGAGAAGCAGTCTGAGACATATTAGCATGTTGGCTGAGAAGCTAAGGAAAGAGGGAAACTTGTGCTCAAGAGTGGGAGGAAAGCACAAGAGAAGAGTGACGTGGATGAAACCAAAGAAGGACGTTTTGGGTAGAAGGTAGCTGGCACTGTGAAGTGTACTATGAAGGACTGATGAATTTTAGAGATGGAAAATAAGATTTCTCATAGTTTTATGTTGAAAAAAGCTTTTCTAAGATGTTACATCTAAATGTTTAAAATATTTTACCATATAAAAGAATTAATAAAATATATGTATGAAGATTGTAATCATAAACTCAGTTGTTTATTGGGGCAGCTTGGAAACTTTGAAAGTGGTGGATATGTGGACAGCATCTATGAGTAATAGGTACAGGAACTGACCAGAGATAAAGAAGGAATTGCCAGTGAGTTTTATAACCATTGAGGATGCTGTTGAGGTTGGGGATCAGGTATTTGCAGTGACCCTTAGCCCTGTGCCTGTTGTTTTCTATAAGTGACCTCAGCAGCCAAGAGTTAGACCAACTATGATAGAGTAGACTGGTTCAAGTTTGGGATTACTTGATAGGTCTGGCACAAACATTAAGAAATGATTTGAGGATCCTAATGAAACTTGAAGGCACTTAACAGCAACAACAACAGTGAAAGTTCAAGAGATTTACCTTGGAGGCTTAACAAATTAGGGAAGGAAATTCAATCCTCAGTGCCAACATGACAGTATGAGAAAGTTGTTGTTAGGCCAGCTCCGACTCATAGCAATCCCATGCACAACAGAATGAAACACTTCCTAGTCCTGCACCGTCTTTATAATTGTTAGGCTGACTCAGTTGTCACTGCCACTGTGCCAGTCCATCTCATTGGGGATCTTCCTCGTTTTTGCTGATCCTCCATTTTACCAAGCATGATGTCCTTCCCCAGAGACTGGTCCCTTCTGACAACATATTTGAAATTTGAGAGATGAAGTCTCGCCATCCTGACTTCTAAGGAACATTCTGACTACTTCTCCCAAGACACATTTGCTCTTCTGGTAGTTCATGGTACCTTTATTATTTTTCTCCCACACCATAATTCAAATGCATCAATTCTTCTACAGTCTTCCTTATTCATTGTCCAACTTTAACATGCTTATGAGGCTATTGAAAATACCAGTATCCCCTTAGTCCTCAAACTGATATCTCTGCTCTTGAACACTTTAAAGAAACCTCGTGAAGCAGATTTACCTAATGTAATACACTGTTTTGACTGCTGCCTTCAGGATTGTTGATTGTAGATCCAAGTAAGATAACACATCATTGACAATTTCAAATTCCCCCCCCCCCCCATTTATCATGATGTTACATATGGGTCCAGTTGTGAGGATTTTTGTTTCCTTTACATTGAGGTGTACCCATTCTGAAGGCTTTGGTCTTTGATCTTCATCAGTATTTTAAGTCCTCTTCACTTTCAGCAAGCAAAGTTGTATCAGCTACATACTGCAAATTGTTCATGAGTCTTCCTTCAATCCTGATGCCAAGTTCTTTTTCATATAATCCAGCATTTCAGATTTACTTA